CCCTCTCTCCCTCTCTCCCCCTCTCCCCCTCTCCCCCTCTCCTTCCTTCTCCTCCCTCAGTGTACTTTCAAAGGAATGATGAGAAGAAAGGCTGCTAGGAAGCACTTGCAGCTTGCTGGACTCTTTTATGTTGCTGCCGCCTTATGAACATGCTCGATTAACCAGCCAGGACCTCCCCAGGCCAACCAGGGTTTCTACAGTTTGCCCTGACAGCATGCCCATTAGCCCTCATCATTTGGTTGCCGTAATAAATCACTAACATTGTAGAATCACCTTACTGCATTACAGGGGGACCAAAGATTAGTGTAACTTTTTTTTTTGAAACATTAAATTTTGTAATCTTTCTGGTGTGTTTCACATGATAGACCTACTATTGCTAGTGTTTATATGATCAGGTGAGTCTCACAGGTACCTCATTATAGACATCAAGGCAGGTGAATGATAAGTACTAAGGTTTGACATCAATGTTAACAACACCACTGAAAAGCAATGAATGCCACTGTCAGAGACACCTGGACCTCAGCATAAAAGTGCTGTAGCATCTACTTCTATTCCAGAAAAGGGTCCAGTGGAGAGATGTGTCCGAATAAAAAAGTCAGATCCCAAAGAGTTGGAAAGAGCTTTCAAGGCCATTTAGACCAGTCCCTTCATTTGACATATAGTAAACTTGAAATCTCATTTAAATTCAGTGAAGGTTCAGGGAAAAACCTATAAGCCTAGAGAAGATAAATACACAAGAGAACCTTACTGGGTCATAGGAAATACAAATATCGACCCCCAGAGTGAGGTGCTAAATAGGCTCAAGGAACTGAGCAGTAAGGCAGGAAACACAAAGAATATCAGAAATACCTGGGATCTGAAAGTATATCTCTAATAAGGGCAGAAATACTGAGAGGAATAAAGAAAGCAAACCCAAAATGAGCATCTATAGAGAGACAGGAGAATGGGGGTCAGGGCAAACAGCATTATGGGATTCCCCACCTTTATCATTTCCATATGGTAAAATCTGCTTAAATGATTTTGAAGAGGTGGTGGGTAGAAGGCGAACTGTAGTTCTACCTATTCTGTGGAGTGATAGAAGATACATCTATATGAGCTTTAGTTTTAAAGGATATTTTTTCTGGTTTTTTGTTTTGTTTTTTAAGTACTAGCTAGTAAAGTAATGTTTTTCTCCTTCTCTGGCAACCTTCTGAGTTACTGCCTATCAGTCAGTCAGTTAATAAATATTTATTAAGTGCCTGTTACATGCCAGGCACTGTGCTAAGTGATACAAAAAGAGGCAAAAGACAGTCCCTGCCTTCGTGACATTCACACTCTAATGGAAGAAGCAACAAACAAATTTAAGCAAGCTAATTGTAAACAGGACAAATAGGAAATAATTAAAGAGGGAAAGCACTGGAATTGAAAAGGGTTGGGAAAGTCTTCCTGTAAAAGTCGGGATTTTAATGGAGACTTCAGGGAAGGCAGTTGGCAGAGCAGAGGAGGGGACAGCATTCCAGGCACGGGGGACAGCCAGAGAAAATGCCGGGAGCTGAGAGATGGAGGGTCTTGTTTGTGGAACAGCCAGGTCAGTGTCACAGAACTGAAGACTACTGTTGGGGGAGTAAGGTGTAATAAGACTGGAAAGGTAGGAGAGGGCTACGTTATGAAGGGCTTTTGACTCCAAACAGAGGATTTTGTATTTAATCCTGGAGGCTATAGGGAGCCACTGGAGTGTCATGAGTAGTGGGGTGACATGGTCAGACCTGCATTTTAGGAGAATAAACTTCAGTAACTAAAGGAGGATGGATTGGAGTGGGGAGAAACGTGAGATAGTCAGACCCATCAGCAGGCCATCAAAATAGTCCAAGCAGGAGGTGATGAGGGCCTGTGGTATAGTGGTGGTGGTGTCAGAGGAGAGAAGGGGACATATTCGAGAGATGTTGCAAAGGTGAAATTGATGGGCCTTGGCAACAGCTTGAAGATGGGGGGGGGGGGACCGGTGAGAGAGAGTGATCAGTCATGGATTACCCCTGCATTGTGGCACCTAAATGACAGGGAGGATGGCAGTAATGGGTGAGGGCGGCACTAAGGGGAAAGAGTTCTGTTTGAGACATAATGAGTTTAAGATGTCTCCCAGACATCTGGTTTGAAATGTCTGAAAAGAAGTTGGAGATAACACTGACCACTGCTTGGAGCCTAGGACAGTTGTCCCAGTTTGCCTTCAAGCTAGCTTCTGCATTGGGAATACACAAATAAGTAAGTGCAAAGGAACTAAATATGATGTCCCAGCCGGACTCAGCATCCCAACAGGAAATGTAACATTTTAAGTTCAGATAGGTATAAGAATGAGAGCTAATGTAATTTTCTTTAATATAGAGTAATCCAAACAAGTATTCATAGTATTCTTTAACTGTAACTTCATTGTATATTGCCTTTAACAATGAAACAAAAAGGGGCAGCTAGGTGGCGAAGTGCATAGAGTACCGGCCCTGGATTCAGGAGGACCTGAGTTCAAATCCGACCTCAGACACATAATACTCACTAGCTGTGTGACCCTGGGCAAGTCACTTAACCCCACTTTCTAACCCTCCCCCCAAAAAACCAACAAAACAAAAAAACTGTTAAACAATAACAGTGAAACTTACGTAAATTCATAATTTCCAGTGAATTCTATGAACTGCCCAGTGGTTATCACTTGCTAACTAGCATTTCTCCAAGTAGTTTTTGAGAAATTTTCCTAAAATGACTGAACCTTAGAAGTTCATCTAGCTGTATCTCTCACTTCTGCAAGCATTCTCTTCTATAGCGCTATCTGCCCCCTGCTTGAATCTCCCATGATGGGGGACATGTATTTCTTCACAAGGGAAGCCGTTCCACTATTAGACAGCTCTCTTACACAGTTCTTATATTAAACTGAAATCAGCCTCCTTTCCATTTCCACCTGTTGTTCCTAATTCTGCCTTCTGGAGCAGCATGTTCAGCCCTTTCCTGCCTGTCAGTCCTCTGGGTATGTGAAGAGACAGCTCAAGGCCTTGTTTTGTCCTTTGCCCTTCTGGCTCAATGGCTCCAGGTTTCTCTCCCATCCTGTGGATTACAGGGTTTCCAGAATCTTTGCAAATAGAAAATCTCAAAATTCAGTCGGTCAGAGTTATGAATAAAGTGCTGTGCTGATACTGTGGTGTTAGTTTGCTTTATTGTCACAGAGTTTGCAACACCTAAGTTCCCAAAATATGTAAAACCAAGGCCGTTAGCAGTGTGCTCTCAGATCTCATGTACAATAAATAGGTACCATTTCTTCTGAGAAATATTTTACTGGGGCTTTGTTTTTTACATCATTGTTGCTTCCCAGTAGCCACCCTCCCAACCTTCCCTTGTAATAAAAGGAGTTAAGTAAACAAAGTAACCAATATAAAGACCATTTCTGACAGTGTTCTTCCTGTGGCCTTTGTCCTCTGGTTTGAGTTCTGGAAGATCATGGCACCTCTTAAAAGAGTATTTTCTGCTTCAGAATTTATTTCATCTTCCTGATGCTGTTATGGTTGCAAAACTTTTGCTGAAATGTAATAGGTCTCCTTATGAAGATCTGAATGGAGAGATAAGCTTTTGTTTGTTGGGGTTTTCTTTTTTTGTTTGTTTTTAGGCAATTGGGGTTAAGTGACTTGCCTAGGGTCACACAGCTAGTAAGTGTCAAGTGTTTGGTCTGAGTCCTCCTGACTTCAGGGCTGGTGTTCTATCCACTGTGCCACCTAGCTGCCCCGAGAGATAAGCTTTTGAAAAGCAATGACATTACCATGATATCCAACAGGCTTTCTTAATATAACATTGGACAGTCCATACAGATCTTTCAGTCCATCCCTTTCATATAAGGAAAGTTTGGATTGGCCCCTGTATGCAAACAATCTTAGCTTATGGCCTAATTGCTGGAATTGCACCATAAGATGGAGTTTTTATGAGATCTAATACCTCATAAATGCCGTTTTCAGCATCACTGGCCCTGATTTGCTGCTATATAACAGCTGACAATCTTTTCTTTTTTTCTTGTGCAAGGCAGTTGGGGTTAAGTGACTTGCCCAGGGTCACACAGCTAGTGAGTATCACCACCTCGCTGCCCCTACAATCTCTTTTTAAAATTAATAAACTAGCATGTGCCTTTTGGCATTTCTGAGAATCTGGACAGCATTGATTGTGCTTTATATTTCAGGGAGCCTTCTACCATTAGCCATGACCTAATCATTTCGTCAAGGCCAGTATCTCTTATGCTCATATTTGTACTGTAGGCTTCTTTAAGCTGCAACGTCCTTCTGGGGATTTTCTGTTATGTTTTTATGCAGAGGCTACAGTGTCACCAGTAGGTATCATTCTCTAACCATTCTTAATTCATTTTAGGAATTTGAAGAGTTTGTGATTCTTGGCTCATAACAGTATTTGTTTCTTGGCTAGCCACCAGTCACAATTTGTTTGAGCATCTTCAGTGATTATCATCCATTTTCTCTTTAATGTGCTGTACTTTATTTGTCATCATAAGGGAAATTATAATCATTCATATAGGCTTGTGCTTGAATCCCAAAGTCCTTTCTGTTGGTATGAGTTTAGTGCCCTCCGCAGAATGTTAGCAGTAAATGAGAGTGTCTGGCATATATGTCACAGGCAAATCAGTTTTATAACAATCATCATTCATCAAATCTGTAAGATACTTCTCTCAGGTGATTTGCTAAACATCACTATCAGGGGCTGGTGCTCTGCTTGCACAGGGATGCCGTCGACTTATTATAATATAATAACATTATATGCTTATTGAAATAATATGCTTATTAAGCCCCTCATGAACAAAACATACTAAGCACCTCTCAGGCTCTGTACATCTGGTTTTTACATCCAGATGCATACGCATATGCCACTGTTTTGTCGGTTGTCAATTCTGATGCAGAAAATTTTATAGGCCAGTTTGAGACATAGTACTTTACCAGTGAGTGGTAAATCTAGTGGGCATCAAAGTCATTGATGGTGCTCTTTAACAGAACCCTACGCTGCCTCATCTGTGGACGAATCCTCCCCATCAAGCAGTCGTCCAGTGCATCTGTAGTCAGAACAGACATTCAGCATCTAGTCTTCTCTGGAACAAAGACACCAAAGGACTTTTCTGTAAGTGGGATTCTGAGGTGTTAATTCCATTCCATCTTTTTTTTCTTTGCATGGCCACGTGTGTACAAGTTGAGTACTTAAATTCTTGACACATTTTTTAACTTTTATAGTCACCTCTTGGGATTTTCTTAGGACAGACTTCAAAGATAGATGCTTTACCAAATGGAAGCTAAACTTATATTGGCCAAATGGAGTAATGAAGGTATACTGTCTTGAGTGCTTTTCTGTTAATTAACTTCAACTACAAGATCTTGCCATCTAGCTTGCTAAAGAACTGTGCAGTTGCCAGCTGGGCCATATTCCTTTCGTATGTGTTTGGAAATACTCTCTATTGATTACTTTCTGGAGGTCTCTCATTTATGCATTATAGATCCCAAAATTATTATATTTCCTCATGGATAATGAAGATGATGATGATAATGATGATGATAACTAGCATTTGTATAGCACTTAAAGGTTTGCAAAGTGTTTTTCATGTATCATCTCATTTCATCCTTAAAACAACCCTGGGAGGTAGATGCCATTTAACAGATGAGAAAACAAGGTAAATGACTTTCTCAGGTTCACACAACTAATTAAGTGTCAGAGGCTGGATTTGAACTTGGGTCTTTCTAACTTGAGGTTCAGCACTGTTATCTACTGTACCACCTACCTCATAGCTATTAAGGAAATTGTCTGGTCGTTAGGGTCTCCTGTTTTAATCTCCTTTTAAGTCTTTCATCCTGCCAACTCTGAATTTTACTCCCAGAAAACAAACTGAACAGCTACAAGATGGGGGAAGCATAGTTAGATAGCAGTTCTGAAAAGGATTGGGGGGAGGGCGATTAGTGGATTGCAAGCTCATGTGCATCAGCAGTGTGATATAGAAGCCAAAAGAACTAATGCAGTCTTGGACTGCATTAAGAAAGGCCTACCTTCCAGGAATAGCAAAGTGATGGTCCCACTATACTCTGCCTTTATATAATATATATAGTACTCTGGAGTACTGTCCTTATTTCTGGGCATCACAGAATAAGAACAACATTTTATTCTGAGAAAGGGACTGAAACTAGAGAGTGTCCAGAGGAGGGCAACCAGAATGGTGAAGAGCCTTGAGTCCATGACATATCAAGTTCCATCGAAAGAGCCAGGATGTTTGGTCTGGGGAAGAGAAGACTCAGGAAACTCATGACTAGATATTTCAAGGCATGCCTCACAGAGGAGGCATCACACTATTCCAGTTTGGCCCCAGAGGGCAGGACCCAGAAGGGGAGGGGGGGTGGGGGGTGCAAAAGAGCTGATTTAGGCTTAATGTCAGGAAAAACTTCCTCCCAATTAGAGCTATCCAGCAGGGCAGTGGGTTGCTTCAGGAGGTGTCACGTTCCCCCTCTTTGGAGGTCCTCAAGCAGAGACTGGACAACCATTTATTATTGTTATGTGAAGTTATAATAGAGATTCCCTTCATGTACAGGTTGGACTAGATGGCCACTGAGTTCCAACTCTCAAGTGTTGTGATTCTGTGATTTTATTCACTAATTCCTGAACTTGAGTATTTTATACAGATAGTCTGCATCTGGATTTTTCATTCTCTGTTTTTTAATATCCAGCAAAGAGATTCTTGATTGTCCAATTTAAGCCTTATTTTATAAATGGTTAACATTATCCTGAAAAAAAGTTTCCCATCTTGCACATCTAGGACAGAGGTTCTTCATCTTTTCTTGTGTCATGGATGCCTTTTGCAGCCTAGGTGAAGAAGTTTATTGACTTGTCAGAATAATGTTTTTAACTGCATAAAATAAGAAAATTGCCAAGGAAACGATTATATTGAAATACAGTGATCAAATTATTTTGAAAAACAGGTTCATGGATTCCAGGCTGGCCAAGCACCCCTGCTCTAGCATGTTTCTTTGTTTCTTTAGCCTAGTTCATTTATAGCAAGTAGTCACAAAAAATATCACTATGGAATGTCCAGCCCTTTTAGCCTGGACCTTCACTGTTTTGGATGTCCAGAAATCTGGATCCAGTTCAGTATTTAGTATGTGTCTATCCTGTGTAAGTCCTTCATCACATACCAAACCCTTTCTCAGGATACGATTTCTGATGCTAGATTATTCCTTTTCAAAAAGAAACTCAGTTAATTTACCTGTGCCACAAATTCCTGGCCTGCTTTTATTCCTTGTGATTCTTGCATCCATTGTGATCTACTTTTATACTCTTTCAAAAGCTTTATGCTGCTTAAACATGCAGAATTCTTCTAATGTGAACGGTCCTTGTTTACTTTCATACTACCTCTTTCTGCAAAATAAGTATATTATAAAAGGTTTGAGGTCTTATATGCCAGATAACAGATAAATGAATAAAAAAGCATTTATTAAGTACCTGCCATGTGCCAGGAAGTGTGTGAGATACTGGATTTACAGATTCCAAAAAATGAGATGCCCATTGCCCTCAAGGAGCATACAGTCTCATAGGGGAAGACAACCCAAAAAGAAGAGTGGCGGCCAGAGAAGGTAATTTTTTTGGGGGGGGGAGGGGAAGGGGGCATCCCACGGGTGTAGTAAAGAGCCATCAGGCAATCAGTTGTCATGGCCTTTCCAGAAGCAAGGGTAGTATTGATTTGATAGCTGTTCCCACAGCAAAAGTTGGTTAAAACAGCAAGGTTGCACAGTGAGTGGGTGGAGTATGGGACCTGGAATCTAAAAGACATGAGTTCAAATTGAGATTCAGACCCTTACTAGCTGTGTGTCCCTGGACAAATCACTTAACCCTTGTCTGCCTTGGCTTCTTCACCTGTAAAATGGAGATACTAATAGCACCTGCCTTAGGATTGTTGTGAGGATAAAATGAGATAGCATTTGTAAAAAGCATTTTATGATGCTTGCAAAGCACTATAGAAGTGTTAGCTATTACTTTATCTTCCTGGAGCCATGAAGTCAACTCTAAAACCACCAAAATTTAAATTATGGCATCTAAAGCAATTCAGCAAGTATATTCTGAGCACCTGCTGTGTGCAAGGCACTCAGTTACAGGATCTGAATTAGTCTAAAATGATTTGACTTTTCAGTGTTTTCCTCAGATGATTTTCCATGTGATTTGTTTTTTAATAGTCATTTTCTTTCTCTTGAGCCTTTCAGTTCACTTCTAAGGGTCCAGTTTGTATCGTGGAAGAACGTGTTTCCAGGGATACATTTGTAATACTAATTTTTTTTTTGGTCTTATGTTTAAATATGATGCCCTGGTGCCCTGCCCCCTTCCAGTTGGCCTCTAGGACTTAGAGAATGAATGGGCTCTTAAATATTTTCCCCTCTGCCCATTTCTCAATGTGGGGAATTTGATTCTTGTTACTTACAAGTCTCCAGGAAAAAAAGGGAACTTTGAACTACTTGGAAACCCAGAAAAGATGCATGTTCTTTTTTTTAGTAGGGTAGTTTGTGGCTCCCAGACCACATTCCTGTTTATTTTCACTGTGATGACTCGAAGGAGAATGAAGTTGGTGGGCAAATTCAGGGCAACTTTAGTCCAATTCCAGTCCCAACAGTAATCAGCTCAGACCTACCTGCCTTGGTTTGTCTGCGTACTGTGCAGCTAGACAAAGGGGGACTTGATGAAAGTAGAGCTTTATCTTTAGTAAACTCTGTAACTTGGAGCAAATCACTTCTCTCTGTGCCTCAGCCATGGAAAAAAAAAGTCGGATTACATGATCTCTAAGGTATCTTCCGTTCTAATATTCTGTAATTCTAAGTGGTCTCAGCTGACTTAGCAGCACTTTGTATACTTTGGCTAGTATAAGAGTTCATCTGCTTTAGTTTCTTGTCCCTTAGGAGGCAAGGAGAAATTAAGTCTTTGTCATTAAGCAGATTAAGGCGATGAATGGCCAAGTCATTTCTGTCAGGTGCTTCAAAAGAGTTTCTTTCCCCATATTTCTAGGGGAGAAGCAAAGAATCATGGTGATTTGTGAATTTGAGTTTATTTTCTTCTATGATATGTTCTTCCTCTTTTTTTTTCTTTTCTTATTTTAGATGGTAAAACACAGAGACATCATAATTTGGCTTTGGCAGCTTTCTGAATAACTTGCAGCTTTTCTGTTGTTGTTGGTCATTTGTTTGGTTTGGTTTTGATTTCTTTGCATTTAGTACACATTTATCCCCGTTGGTCCTAAACCCTTTTTATTGCTGTAATAAATGATCTGCTTTGCACACATTAAGTGCTATTTAAACACAATCCTTGATCAATTGGGTTTTGTTTAATTTAATGACATAATACATTTAACATTTGATTTCATCTGTTGTGAATGCTTTAATAAATGTGTAATATAAACAGTTCATTTCTTGCACACCACATATCTAAGAGTTCAGGCTGGGTAACTTCTAAGGTTCCTTCCACCTCTAAAATTCTGTTATTATGTTGCTAGGATTTTCTTTCAATCTAACTGGCCCTCTAAAATTTGCTGCTTCTTTATGTCCAAACGAGTGTGAAAGGCCAGTCAGTCCCTCTGTTTCTACCCTTGATGTATCCCTTTTCCCCTTCCCCCTCACTTCTCTTTTGGGAGCCAGCCTCATCAATCATCTGCCCTCCCACCTTTCACTTTTACCTCTGCTGGCTGCAGACATGCCCTGGCCTATCCCAGCCTTCAAAATCTTGCCCTTATTCTGCCGTCCCCTCAAGCCATGACGCTGTCTCTCTAATCTGTAACTTTGCTCATTGGGCTCCTTGTGCTTTCTCCCTCCTCAGGCATCCAGCTTCCACCCCGGCATTGGATTCTCATTCCTAACTCAGATGGCTTTACTCGGTCCTCATCCGTTTGGATTTCTGGGCAGTTTGGGATAATGCTGACCACCCCTTTCCTTTTGGTTGTTCTCATTTCTTGGTTTTTGGGACACTGATTCTATCCTGGACCTCTTCCTCCCTCTCTGAACACTCCTTAGTTTCATTTGCTCCATTGTCCTGTTCCTGCTCCCACACTTTGGGGATCCTCCTGGGCCCTCGTTTCTATCTGTGCCTTCTCTCAGAGATCTTCTCTA